AATGGCAACATCCTTCTCTAAATTTTACCCACCCGAGGGTCACCAAATTGTTCTCAAAATTCTACCCTGCCCACAAAAGGGTGAGTCAAGTTGAAATTGCAACATCCTTCTCTTAATTTTACCCCTGCATGGCCCACAAAAGGGTTAGTCAAGTTGAATTGGCAACATCCTTCTCTAAATTTTACCCTCGGGTGGCTCACCAAAGGGAGAGTCAACTTGGAATGACCACTTCCTTCTCCAAATTTTACCCCTGCCTTGCCCACAAAAGGGTGAGTCAAGTTGAAATGGCAACATCCTTCTCTAAATTTTACCCTCGGGTGGCTCACCAAAGGGTGAGTCAACTTGGAAGGGCAACATCCTTCTCTAAATTCTACCCCTGCATGGGTCCACAAAAGGGTGAGTCAAGTTGGCATGGCCACTTCCCTCTCTAAACTTTACCCCTGCATGGCCTACAAAAGGGTGAGTCAAGTTGGAGTGACCACTTCCTTCTCTAAATTTTACCCTGCCCACAAAAGGGCGAGTCAAGTTGAAATGGCAACATCCCTCTCTAAATTGTACCCTCGGGTGGCTCACCAAAGGGTGAGTCAACTTGGAAGAGCAACATCCTTCTCTAAATTTTACCCCTGCCCACAAAAGGGTGACCAAGTTGAAATGGCAACATCCTTCTCTAAATTTTACCCCTGCATGGCCCACAAAAGTGTTAGTCAAGTTGAATTGGCAACATCCTTCTCTAAATTTTGCCCTCGGGTGGCTCACCAAAGGGTGAGTCAACTTGGAATGACCACTTCCTTCTCTAAATTTTACCCCTGCCTTGCCCACAAAAGGGTGAGTCAAGTTGAAATGGCAACATCCTTCTCTAAATTTTACCTTCGGGTGGCTCACCAAAGGGTGAGTCAACTTGGAAGAGCAACATCCTTCTCTAAATTTTACCCCTGCCCACAAAAGGGTGAGTCAAGTTGAAATGGCAACATCCTTCTCTAAATTTTACCTTTTCCCACAAAAGGGTGAGTCAAGTTGAAATGGCAACATCCTTCTCTAAA